GTTCTGAAGCAATATAAATAAAAATAAGTAATCTTGTGTTAATGTACGCAGTGATATGTATATTTATTATATTTTAATATAATTTCTAACATTATAAATATACTATTATCCAAAAAATTTTTTGAGGTCAATCTCTCGCCTCACTTGGGAACTTAGCATAGTAGTCGTAAAGTTAATAAACACAAAAAAGACAAAATTTAAATTTTATAAGAAAGTTTTTGCAATCATATTATATTATTTTATATATTAAACGCATTATACAGGGTGGGCCAAAAGTCTGGATACACCCAAATATCTCATAAACGATACATTTTAGAAAAAAATGTTTTAAACAAAAGTTGTAAAGCTTACATATAATAGGGAAATAGAAGTAGGGGGTTCCATTTAAAAAAATTAAGTTGACTTTGACGTGACCTTGACAACGCCATTTTAAGTCAAATAACTACTATCGTTAAATGCGTCTTTTTAAGCTTTACAACTTTTGTTTGAAATATTTTTTTCTAAAATGTATCGTTTATGAGATATTTGGGTGTATCCAGACTTTTGGCCCACCCTGTATATAAACCGCACCCAATCCTCAAAATGTTAATGTAGTTAAATATGCTAAATGTTAATGTACTTAAATATACATTTAATGTACTATACACGTAATAATACATATTTTCTATAAATAAAATTAACTCATCACTGATTCGTCCATTATTATATTATAGATATCATATATAGCATATATAGCACCTTATATGCGTATTTACCAAAGGTGACTGTCACGTCCGAATTCGCGTTTGTTGTCGATGCGAGAGACGCGACTGGGTCGGTGGAGCGCGAGCGCGGAGCGGGGCGCGCGGGGCGAAGCCTTGGCTTCAGCTGATCTGATTTCGGCTGTTTTTGCTGCGGGCAGGTTGCTGCCACCAGTGCCTTCTTAATTCGGCACAATGTCTATCGGGCATAATATTATTATTTGAGGATTATTATCGCGGCCTTCTTGTACCTCCGGTGTCGAAATAATTAGAGAGTTTAGAGGAAGCATCAGATCCCTGGGGAATGCCCAGCGTATGTTGAGATAACTCAGATCTCTGCTAAGGGCGTATCATCATGCGGTTCACTCTATCTACGCTCTCGGGGTTGGAGGTGCAGGAAGGGAAACGATTGATCAGACGAGAAATACTTGGTAATCATTTTAATATTTATTGCGCAAGGGACGTTGCTAAATACGCGCGGTTTGGCGGATGTTACTAGTATGGGCCGCGTAGGGACCCTATCCGGAGCCACGTGTGGTGGCGG